TCTTTATTGCATGAAGAACCTTAAAAAAATCATCAAGATTTTACAAGGGCGTTTATTGAAATATTAATTTTGTATGTAGTACCTATATATGTATATTAATATATATTTTATGATATCTAAACAAGATTTAAAATCAAATTAATAATTTCATTGTTTTTACTTGTAAGTCGAAATAATTAGTTACTATAATGAAAATTAAGATGAAACGCGCACAGTCACAAAGTGAGTGTATGTATCATTATACTCAACCGTGCTTATAACATTTATTAGGATGTCACTATAAATAACATGAATTGATTGACAACTGCACGGAATAAAATTTCAAACTCGACTAAACTCGTATCTACAGTATTTGTGTTTATATCTCTTCACTTACCTCTTATATTATGACTCATTCGAAGGTACGACGTCATAATTATTTGCGTATCCAATGTTACATAGCATCAATGTGTGAGATACATGCGACAGATAATATTTCTTTTGATCATAATAGAAATTTATTCTAGTTTCTCCGTCAAAGTATTTAATAATATACCTATTGATAAAATTTTTTGCGATTATATAGCGCAATGTCTTGTACGTATTAAAAACGATAATTTCATTGCATACATATTAAAGACGATAATTTTATTGCACAAATAAGAAAATGTGCTAATTAGAAACGCGATGTTTTTATCAACTTCGATACTAAACCTTTATGAAACGTTCACTCATAAGTTCGCTGTAAACGGTTGTTTAGAACTTTCGTATTTCTCGCGTGATTGCAATTTTATAATGCACGAACTCTTTCGTGGTCGCCGCGATTTTCTCGCGAGAAAATCGAGATATTGTGAAAAACGTGATTGATCTTAAAAATAAATGCGTGACGAAAGGTCATTATATTATATCGTATATATAAGGAAGAAAGCGGGTGTTACGCTCGAAAGTAACTCGCAAGGTGACTGAACTCATCCAGCCCGTTTGTTTCGGCACGGTTCGTCGGTTTGTATTTATAGTGGTATACTGATAGGTATTTTTTCCTACTATCATGCTTCTTTTATGTGAAATAATTAATATTAGAAACTTGATTTTTCGCATCAAACATGAATCGCATCCGGCGACGCAATAGCCCGACTTATGAAAGTTAATTACATTTATGCTACTACATTCTTTCATGATCGTGTATACATACATTCAGTATCAATTAATCGAAACTTGAACGTTTTAAGGTCTCGCAAAATACTATTGCTACATAATTATGCTAATAATAAATTAAGAGAAATATACACTATTTTAAAAAATGGCTATAACCTTTATTTTATGTAACTGTAAAAAAATCAATTTTTTTGAACATTGATTTTATAATTATTTGTTCCTTCAGACAATATAAATTTTATTTCAAATATTTTCCATGATAATGCATGATAATGCATTTATAGAATATTCGACGTGAGCAATTAAAATGATGTGTATAATCAAATCAAGTTTAATTTGTCTTTCTTTTTGCTTAGAAATAGATAATTAATTAATGTCTTATTCTTTTATGACATATAATTTATTTTAAATTATAAAATGCGAATATTTATTTTGAGACTATTTATTTTATCCTTTTTCTATTCGCTTATTTATATTTATATTTTAATATCTTTGTTTTTATTCTACTTTCAATAAAAAAGTATTTTGATTTATAGGAGGAAAACATTAGGCCAGTGAAATTGGCAATTGATCGACCATCGGAGAAGTTCTTAGCTTTTCTACGCAAATACTATGGACTCTCGAAGATTATTCCACAGAACAATAAATTTGTCGTCTTTGAAGGATTCTTTGATGATGGTACGTAATTAATACTTTGGTATGAATTTTCTGAATGCACGCAGTGTGTGGCACATTAATGTTAGCAAATAAATGATTTTCTTGAATATCTCAAATATTTACTAAGGATTACTTTAATAAAATGTTTCTCTGAAACAAAGTAAATTTATTTAGAAATAGTAAATTTTTTTTCTGACTCTTACAGTGGTTCGTTTTTTTTTGCGGGAAAGTATAATTATTCAAAGAATTTTTAAAATTTAAAATTTAAAAACGTTGGATATATGTAAAAGTTACAAGTAGATTTCAAGGGTTGAGTTCAAGAAAACTTTTGTTTCCGTTTATAGAGAGTCGAGACGTAAGGAGCAATAGATACAGTTTACCTCCAAGAGTGAACTTGGACGATGGTACATCGGGCAATAATGACAGTAATGGAAGGAACGGTGCTAGGTAGGTGCGTCAAATCGAATTACGATTTATGAGGCGACAGATGCGAATCGTAAATGGTTTACAGTTATATGGAAGAAAATGATATATTGCTTTTCAGTCTCAACGGAGTACCATACGTGGCATCCGTTTCGCGCAGTTCATTCGGTAGATACGCTGCGGCGCGGCCGCCCTGCTCCATGGCAAATGTGAGTACAACGTAGAGAAGTAGCCGAGAAAAACTTTTAAGTCATGTTTTAATTTATCAGTTCTGATATTATACTAATAATTACATAATATACATTAAATTGTAATGTATTAGAAAAGAAAAGAAAAGAGATGGAGAAAATGGAGAGCAAAAATTGTGTGCACAATTGCAATATATATAATTAAAATCATCGCATTTTGATTTTTGCAAAGCTTAAACTTTTATCTCTAAATATAGAATATATAATAGAGGCATTATTTTTTAATTATATAAAAAAATCTAAAATTTTTAATTATTGCTAAAAATATGTATAGCTCTACGCAGAAAATATTTTTATTTCTAATTGCTATTGAATGAAATCAAACGTAAAAATTTTTTATCACGAAACATATTTGCGATATTTACACAGACATTTTCTTCTTCATTCAAATCTAACATTATTGCATACTTGAAAACATTAACCATGCAATTTCTCTTAGGCTTTCCACATTTCTCTTAACTTTATAACACACAAAGCGTAGGGCATGACTAATCATTACATATTGACGCTTTCTTTTAGATAATCCATAACACAGCGATGCTTGGTCAATCAGCCGAGCATACTGGGTGAGTAAAATTCACGGAATGGTTATTGAAGTTATACAATCTAAGCCTGCTTGTCTTATAATTTTCTTTAATATTTAATTGAAGGCTATTATGTATAATAATATTACACATGAAAGAGATTATGTGCAATATCTTTTGGTTGTGATATTTTGAAAGACTTTCTCTCATAGTTATGCATTTTGAAAATTTAATTTTTAAAAAACTCTAAATAAAATTTTTAATCGTAAAGAACAATAAAATAATACTCAGCAAATGTAACGCATTTTAAATTAGCAGAACTGTGAGAGAAAATTTCTGAAAGTATATGTTATTATTTTTTTACGCATTGTTGCACTGTAAACAAACTTTTTCCTTTTTAACAATCATCATCAAAGCTTGAAAAATCTTACTAAGAGTATATGTGCTCAATATAACTAAAATATTTGAAATAATTCAAGATGCTTCAAATAATTGGTTGTAACAATCGTCATATGTCAATAATTATTGAATTTTGCTAAATTAATTAGATTATAAACATAATAGAAATAAATTGCGAATTTCTCGATCTCAGCTGTGATCTATTAGAAAAAGAAAATACCCATTGAATTTAAGATTGCATTCGATTTCAGCGCTTACGCTCTATTTTTCTTCTGTAACTGTAAGTGATGAGTGATAAAGATTGTGTTCCTTTATTCACGAGTACTAAAAATTTACAATTTATGTTATTATAGATTTTCAGTACTCGCAATGAATAACGGAATGATTATAGATAGAATGAAGCGGGTGAACGTTGAAATCGTATGTAATCTAGAACTCTGGATATTAATCTTTTGAAAACCGGCGCTTTCTAACAACGCATAACTTATAGAAAATCTTACTCTTTAAAGGTTTTTGGGATCGCTAAATCGATTCTGATCTAAGATTAAAAAATTCAAAATAATGGATTTAATATGGCAAATTTAAAAAAATATCTGATTGTATACTGCAAAACAGTTTTAAAGGATTCTTGAGATCGATAAATCTAATTTTAGAGGTCGATTGTGTCTTGAAATGAAATAAAAATTACAAAAGTGAGCAAATTCATTAGATATTGACCAATGAAATGAAATAATAATATTAATAAATTATAAATATTTATTATAGATGATAATAATAATAATAATAAATTGTAAATAATTAATATTCTAGTGATTTTATTTATTTTTGTAATTTTCAACTTTATTCTAAGATATA